ATATATATGTATTTTTGAACATATAGAATCATTGATTTATAATTTAGGTGGGTATACTAATTCAATGAAAAATATATCTGGTGACTTCGTTATTGCCTTATCTCGCAAACTATTCACTTCAGAAACAAATTAAAATCAACTTTTATATTTCATTTCCTATTAATAGCAAGTAGGGAACTATACTTTCTCTACTAACGTGATGTGTTTGTTCGACAATAACTGAAGAGATCGAGCGATGTTTCCTGTCTAGATATACTGCAAACGAACAAAATAACAAGAAAATCTAATATAGAGCAATAAAAATCTCAACACTAAAATCATCTAAAATAGACCATGTGCGAGCGTCTGTGATTTGAAGTAGAGAATAACAAACATTTCTCATTATTTATTATAGTTGTAAGTTGTAACTAACAGGTTTATATGGTTTACTAGACCTTTGGTCCCTTGCTCAAATAAAGAATATAAATTATATTTTATTTCCAGCTTCATCTCGAAAAAACAAAACAGAAATGAATGTAAGGCAACATACGTGCATTGCATGAGCTCATACAGTGTACCAAAAAACATTGATTTTTCTAGGAGAAAATCTAGTAGAAGAAAAGGGTACGCACAAAATTTCAGAATCAAGTTTGAGTATCTATACAAAACTGAATGACATTTATGAATTGCCTTTGAAAATTTCCACAAAAATGGTAGTTGGCTAGCGCGGACATCATGACGACTAGATTTTCATTAGAATAAAAATGACGCGCTTCGAAAATATTTTCTTCAATTCTTCGGAACCATAATGAATGAGAAACATTACGAGTGGAAAAAATTGAATACACCTCGGTAGTAAAAACTATTTTTTTATTATATCCCTGGGCTGAAACATTATTGTTGATGCGGTACGTATATAATCTTCGTCAATGGGTGATCATGATATTGTTTACTACCACAGTGTATAAATAACTTCTTCATTATGACACAAGTCTGATAAACGGCACTTAACAGTCTCAACACTAGTATAGGTACGAGCCTATATATTCTAGAAAAGTGCATTTTCTTCTTATGCATATTTATTTGAGGAGAGTGTGAATCATAAATTTATTTACTTATTCGCTATTTCTACTTATAAATAGTATACCTAATACCTGAGAATTCATCTTGTAGAAACAATCCCTAATCTGTGATTCTATAAGTAGGTAGTTTTTGTACAATAACAATACATTGAATTGTCAAGAGTGATTTCTTCTTGAAAACGGTACACACCCCAAGTGGCAATAAGAGAGGGACACTGAGTACTGAGTATCACCATGTATCACCTAGGCCTAGACTCCTATAGACTAAGTAACCCATTATAGATATACTTCCTTTAATGGTGTTTTCATTAATATACGATTTGGTACATAATCTGGAGGAAATGAGCTTTTAGAATTCGTGGGTATAGAATTGTTATTCTTACCAACCTTGTATTTATTCAGGAAGAGATTCAAGTTCTTCAGGATATTGCAGCGTGTATTGTGTATCAAAAGTTTCAGGATTTCCCATGAATTCTTTGATACACATTGGCAGTGGATTTTTCTGCTAAAATTATCTGCATTTCACGAGGCATTTCAGTCAAATCTTAAGAACGTCGGATTTTCAAAATCGATAAACCATTAGTATGCTTACATAATGGGGAAGACCACTGAGGGAAGAAATCCATGCAAACCTCTTTCAATCGACGAATCATGATTTACATTTTATGTACAATCAATATTATGAGTTGAGGTTGAAGGAAATCGAATCTATATCGTTTTGAATTCTGCATATTTCATTCCATATTTCAAACAGCCAAATATGATGGTGGAGTCGTGACGTATTAGTCCCGAACTGTAGCTATCTGGCTATCTCCCTCTGATATACCTCGTCATTCTGCAGTGTTGCAGTGTAATTGGTCAGTTCAAGGACAATAGGCGTGTTGGGACTAAGACGTCGCACCAGTCACACCAATGAATTGATGAAATTTCAAATGGCGCAGGAATTGTGTGTTTTGAAATGGACATATACTAATTTATTTTTTTCATCGTCTTAGCATGAATGAAAAAAATTCAAAATTAATTCACTGGTAGTTTTTCAGTATATAGTTCACGATAATGTCGTTTTAAAAAATCAGTGGTCTTCCCCATTGAGTGAGGATTCGGCTTATGTTAAAATATATACCGGGTGGGCAGGAGATTGATCCATCAATTTGAAATTTTGGGTTGGTGTGTTTTAGATGTAAAACTTCCGGTTTAGCTACATGGAAACCGGAACCACTATCAACCGTCACTATTCCAGATAGAACATCTTTTTTTTTTCTGTGTATGAAATAAGAAGCACTACATCCTATACCTCTTTTTTATTTCTTTTAGCGCACGAAAGAAAACTCCGATAAAGTTCGAAGAACATCATGCGTACCTAGGGAAGATAAGGAGAGGAGGTAGGTATTGGAATTGTTTTTGAACTTTCCGAAATTATAAGTTCTTGGGAATTACCTAATTCCATGGGCAAAGAATTCCAAATTTTTGCCGTTCTATAGACGGACGAGTGTTGGCAAAGTGTTGTTCGACATACTTCAACGTTGACAACAAAAGGATGTGCTGCTTGTCGAGTTCGTCTGACTGGTATAGCTACTGATGGAATGATAGCAGATATTTCTGAGGAGCATTTTTCTTGGAAGTATATATAAAAAAGTGAAAGGTCGCCGACTTTTCTACGGTGTACTAATGAGGTCAAAAAATTAGTGAGTGTATAGCATCATCCACCAGAGGCGAATTCCTCTTTTCTGGATGGAATCTAAGAGCATCAGCGTATGTTTGGGTGCCGAACCCCATATGTGAGAACAGTACCTATGCTAAAACTTGCCGTATCTGTGCTTTGTAGATCATGAGAAGCTGTTGAGGTGTAAAGTAGTAGTAGTTAGGTCATTTCGTGAGATTTGGTAGTTCAATAATTTGAGATAGGCTGAGTATTCGATATTCAATTACACGAAAACCAATGAATTTTGAGCTACGGCACATTGTGAGATCATGGAGTATAAGAATATAAGTCATTTAACGAAGTATCTCAAATTTAGATTTTTATGAGATATGTCATTACGTGTGATGACCCACGATATAGTAGACTTAGTGGGAATGATGGTACTAGACATTGTTATATCAGGCATACTGAGTTCCGCCTTTCTAGAGAAAACACAAGACCTATATCCATACATTGTGAGTAATCAAGTCCCTATATGAAATAATCTGTTCATTTATCAGTTTTATTGTACTCATCACTCATCTATACACAGAAGAGTAGGTTGATAAAGGTAAACAAAAAAAAAGTTCAGGAAGGTGAGTTTGATTGGTATTCTAAGTATTCTTTTGAACTTCTTAAAGTATCTTAAGTATCTATAAAGTTTACATAGGAAATGATATACTGTTGTGACATCAGAACTTCTGAAAAGAGGTTAGAAAATCAAATCGGTGCTCTCTATATTCACTTGTTATATGTCATAATTATGACATTAAAGATAAATACAACATATTCAATAGTTATTTTTCAGAAAACTGTAAAGATATTATAGATTGTTATACTCTATACACAAAACTTGCAACTTCGCAATAAAAATAAACGAAATACTGAATCCCCAGGTATATAGGGGCATCTCATTTGAAAAGAAAGCATGTTCTTCCACCTTCATGAGACCCCCATGTGTAATGTTTGATAAGGGCAAAATCTCTTTCCATCAAGAAGAATAGGAACAAAAACAGGGTGCGCCTCCCCCCTCCCTTATATAACTCCTTTGTTTTCAGAGATGTGTGAAAATGTTGAATGGAAAAGTTGTTTGAATTTGAAACGACCCAAACTCTTATTTCAAGAAGTTGCTTTATATACAGGGTCATTCGTGTTTCCGGAAAGGACATTAACTTTGATTTTTTCAATGGAATGGAATATATTTTCTGACATGTCGATAGAGCTTTTTTTCTGATTTCAAAAATATATATGATTCGCATATTTGAGTGAAAAATAATTGACTTATTGCTGATCAAAGTTTATCAAAATACCGCATCTTCCATTCATATTTGTTTGTACTGAGATTGGAAGATTTCAATATTATAATAAACAATATCATGACATTTCCGTAGAGCCAAAACAATATATAGACATTATTTTTCAGCCTACTGTGTTCAACTTACATTATTAGATGATATGAAGCAGTATTTTGTTGAACTTTGATCATCAATAAATCAATTATTTTTCATCCAAATATGCAACTCATATATATTTTTGAAATCAGAAGAAAAGACTCTATTGACATGTTGGAAAATATATAGGGTGTTCCATTGAAGCAATCAAAGTTCATGTCCTTTCCGGAAAAACTAATGACCCTGTATATTGAAAAAATCACGAAATGAAAGTTTGGGTCGTTTCAAAGAACTTCTTCATTCAACATTTTCTCATATCTATGAAAAAAAAAGAGTAAAGGGGGGGTTCCATTTCAAGAGGCGCACCCTGTACATAAAGGGTTGCACCTATTCGTGGGATACCTATATCCTGATGCAAACTATTTCAGACACTCTTATCAATCGGCGAAAGCGCCTGAAATTTTAGTAACAGTGATGGAAAAGTAGCGTAATGGGGAGGTAGTTTTGTGGTGTATTCAAGAACATTCTGGATCAATATTTCCCTTCCGAAGATGAAACCTAATCCAGATTCCGATAATCAAAACGCGTTGCGCTAATTATAACAGCCAGCCAAAGCCAGCAAGCAGTCACCTATCTATACAGGTAGCACATGGAGCACACTTGACTGAGCTTATAATTTTCTGTGATAAATCAATTAAAACACTTTGTCTATCCCAATCATTCAGTGGAAATATTATCTTTGCGCCGACACACTATCAGTAATTGCTATCATCGGCTATCAACTTAGTATATTAGGAGCTTTCGTAAAATGCGTTACGTGCGGAGTGGTTTGATTTTCTTCGTATGGTTCGGTGAAGGTGTTCCCCGATGATTCTCTTCATTTTCCTGCTGCTGTTTCAAACTTCTTCAGCCAGTAGCGGCTTCAACAACAGCATACTCAGCCAGCCCCCTCTGGCAGTGGCTGACTGCCCACCACTGCCCGAAACCTGCAGGAATAACAATAGTACCTGTCCACTTTGCGACGATTCCGGAAAATGCACCCTTTATGTTGCTGTTATCCTGCCACAATCAGATTTCTACATTGTCAATATTGCGAGGGTAAATAATATCATGATTTCTACCGTAGATCTCTCATATGATGCAGAATCTCTTTTCCTTTTTACTTTGAAAATTTCGAATGAACTATACAGAGTGTTTGGTAATTAATTGAGTACCGGCAATACAAGGTGTTTCAAGGAGAAAAGTTCATATCAACATCCTGAACCGCGTAGTTTTTGAGCTACAGGGTGTTAGAATCAGAGGCGTACAGTTTTTTTCAATCAAAACATTCATTATCAGGCCTATACGTGAACATCACTACTGGTAAAAGTAAAAAATTGAATTTTGTCCCAAAACAAAATGTGTGCTCACTCATACTGGGGGCCTACTGAATTTTGAGAAAATTCGAAAAACAATCTCAATGAATTGATGAACAGAAATTTTTTGGTTTTCATTTTTTTACGCGAAAACAGTACGTCGTATGAAAGTAGATTCAGACACAAATTTGCCTCAAAATAAATCAGTGTAGTATACCTACCATTTTTTTTTCTCCAACAATTGTCAGTTCAAACCCGTACGGACGTTACTGGTGAACATTTCGAAACATATTTCACACAAAAAGAAAATATGATAATAAACTCACTTTTTTCTCCAGATTGTAACACTCTGTAGCTCAAAAACTAAGTGGATCAGGACATTTTTCTCCTTAAAGTCACCAGAGGATTCACACCTTGTAGTATCGGCACTCAATTAATTGACACCCTGTATCTTCTGATGACCATTAGGATTATTGATTCTTGATGAAATTTCCGAGCTATACATATGAAAAATAACAAAACAGGAGTCAACGGAAAATGATCAGAACTTACATTCGTCAAAAAAAAATTATATAATTTTGTTGTCAAATTCTGTATGTGATGATATAGAGCTCTCCTCTTGATTATATTCAAGTAATAATACATTAAGATAAGTCTGTAAAAAAGTATACCTACCTCAAAGTGGAGTGGTGTAGATTATATATGGAAATCTGAAGTATTTGGGTTGCCTTTACAGGGTGATTTACGATTTACGCATTGAATAAAAATTGTCGAAAAATCAACTTATTCAAACAACACCTACAATTTTTTACACCTATTGAAACAAAATAAAATCTCTGGTTGAGTAACTTTACGCTTCAGCAGTGTCTATACCTAACTCAGTGTAGGTCGAATCGAAGGGTATGGTGTATGAAATCAACGATACAGTGCATATTGTTCCGTACTTTTCGTTCTTTGATAGGAAATTTTTCCTCAATAATATGTTTTTCAAGATATCTTCAATATTGATCCATCAGTTCAAAGATATACGATATATACAGGGTGAGTCGGGAGGAAAACACCAAACTACAGGTGTAGACGTAAAATTAATTTCAAAAAACCCATATGTTCCTATACGATTCTCATTCGTTCTTATTCTAATCGTCATTTTATAAACTATTGTGGAAATGACTTCGAGTATCATTTCAGTATTTTGGCTCTTTCCTATTTGAAGAAAAAAATTAACATTATGTTGAAAAAATATTGATTTGTAGGTTGAAAAATAATAAGGTTCCCAGAGGTTTTAGGCCAGCGCAGATATCTGGGTTATCTAACATACAAAAAAATGCAAAAAATTGTGGAATTCATGGGATCCAAGAAAGCTGTCTAAAATGGCGAGATCAATTCGACCTTGTGTTAAACAATCTACTAGAAACCGCCCTTACTTTGATTTTTCAAATTGCACCCCTTTTTTTGTCCATCTTACATAGAACTTCTCACTATCCATCACGATCGATATACCGTTATAGCAGTGGCGGCTTGATCGTGCTCCTTTCAACAGGGGAGGCTGAATATGAAGTATGAATGTGAAATTCTACAAAAAACCTGACGACACTCAAAGGTTCTTGTTCATATTTTGAATGACCATCAGACCAAATAACAATAAAAACGACAAAAAATACAGATATGATAAAATAAGTATAGGTTCATGTTTGATAGTGTTCAATAACATTCTTATAATTGAGGTTCTATTTTCTTTTCAAAGAGAATTCGTACAGTGAAATTCATTAGAAGAAGAACCCTATAATGCGATTTTCAACTTTATATTGCCGTCAAGTTTGGGCACCATATCCTTATGAATATCTTACTCACACGTGCTCCCTGGCGAATCGCGATTCTGGCGATTTTCATTGGTCAGAGATAGATGTATAGAAAGTCAAATCCAATTGAAAGGAGTTTCGAAATCTTCGCCTACTTTGTAAAAATAGCGAGGCGTGAGAGAATCTTGCTGAATTTCCGAAGTTTCAAATCAAATTTACAGGCATTATCACACATTCATTTGAGTTCACATTTTCATTTTCACAACTTTTTGTGTAAATGGAAACGCTGAGTTATATTTTCGACGTCAATGGTATCGTAACTCAAGAAACTGCTGTGATAATTGTTTGTTTACTCAAGTAAGTGGTGGTTTCTAGTTGATTGTTCGACGAAAGGGTGGTTTGATCTTACCATTTTGAAGTGCTTGTGCCCCCATGAATTCCACAATTTCTTGATTTTTTTTGTATGTTAGATAACCCAGATATCTGCTGGCTCAAAAGCTCTGATAGGACACTTGGTATACGTATAGTGTCGTGTGGTGATAACATATACGTATAGTGTGGCAATTCAACCATGTATTTATCCACAATTAGACCATCCATCCATTATTGACAGTTCAAATGTGATAATTCATATATTTTGAAAAGTTTTCAATTCATATTTCAGGCTATAGGTATTCAATATTAGCTCAGTTCAACAATTCCTCAAGCAGTATATAATATTTATTGTAGATCAGTTCGATGCGGGAATGTTGTAACTTGATTCTACGTGATGAGAAAAAATCGTTAAACTGAAGTAATAACATCGCACTCTACCGTCTCCTAAAAACGTACACACTTGAACTGAGCATTTTTACGGGGAAAAACTGAGACGCCCCAATGGCTTCGCTGTATCAAAAGTTGCCAAAATCTTGGAAAGTATCTCCGCAAATGTCACATTTGTGCGAATGCACTGTACCTACATTTTTCTCCGTGTAGACATACGGTGGCGATAAGTCATCAAACATCCAAGGCGGCATCAAACTCATCAAAGGTTTCGCATCTGGGTAGTTGAGTGATTTGCGGTATATAGGTCCTTGAGAAAGCAAAAGATCTCTCGGCAAGATAAGACATTTCTTATCATTACTGAAAAGTTCGCCTAAGATGAGGAATTAATTCCAATAACTATGCTGACTGAAATGCAAAGGTCTCATTACATTGCATCAGTTAGGTACATAAAAATCAGGACCAGGTATAAAATTGATAAAATTATGAAAAAACATGCACAAACACTGATTTCATAATGAAACAAAAAATAATAAAAACATGACAATATTAATTCGACATACAAAATGAACAAATGCGATAAAAACAAAACAATGAATTATAATGATAATATGATGATAATAATGATAATACCTAATGATAATAATAAATTGTTCAAAAGGCTTTCTCTTGGGGTTTGGATTCAGGTTTGAAATGTATAATTAGGTAAGTAATCAAACCTTAATCCCAAGAAGATCGAAGCAGTTTGACAAAATGTAAGCAAGATACAAGAGAACCAACCCCATCATCAACAAAATAATAATCATGATGATAATAATAATGATAAATAATAATAATGATCATTATAATACAGTAGAACCTCGATTATCCATGCTCCACGAGACCAGGCACACATAACTGAAAAGCACAAAAATTCCGAAAAATTATTTCTTACATAATATGTATGTATGAACAGGGTGTCCGAAATTCGAGGGGTATATATCATTGGGATCTTGGTAACCATAACAGGTACAAAGTCGCTACAATTAAGGCAATAAAGTTGTGCAATTTGACGCTAATCCCGGCTAACAAGATTGAAAATATCGAATACTTCCGAAAGTATTTGAAAAAAAAAACGAATATTCGCGATTTAATTTTTTTTTCGGACATTATTAGAATTGATATGACAAAATGGATTTCTTATCATCAGTGCAACTTTTCCCGCTCTATCCAATAGAATTATAGATTTCTGATCTGACGTTTCGTCTTGGAGGAGTCATCATCAATTTTGTTTTTCAAATGGTTTCCGAACCTAAAAACAAGTGTCATTTGATGATGGTTACGAGGAAATGAAACGCTGATCAAAATTCTGATGACGGCATCTTGTAGAGCCGAAAGAATAACTGCAGAAATGTCAAATTCATTTTGGTCTATCCGAGGGTCTATCTTCTTAGTTAAATCAGAAAATTAATAGGGATTTGAAACTGCGAGAAAAACTTTTCATTTTATTCAAGTTACAGAGAGGGGCCATAATAGTTTGAAATTTCTGCAGCCATTGTCCCTTCTCAATAAGTTGCCGATATTGGGAGAAACCAATACAAGATCAGTCGTGGTGAAAATAATCATGAGGCAGAGTGAGAGACACCCTGTGTATACACATAATATTGTGATTATATTGATGGTCTCTACAGAATGAAAACCGACCAGTAGAACAATTATTCTTTTTCTTGCATATAATATACAACTCTCATATTTTCTCAAGACCTTACCTTACCTAACTTACCTGCGACTCAAATGCATTTAACACACCCACAGCGATTTCCAGCACGGGCAAGGAACTTTTTTCAATATTTTATTTACGAATTATATATTGTAAAGTTTCGGAGCATCGGCTGGGGATAGTCCTGCACGATTCGCTGTTGCGTTCCAATTAACAGTGCTGCTCCTAAAGTGGCGCATGGAGTTAGTAACAAAGCCTACACAGAACACGCAGAAAGATATGATGATGTGGTTGTGAGCATCAGAGAAGAAGTAGGACGGTGTATGTAGGTGGGTGTAGAAAACTACCAGCTGAGCGTGAGAGCGGGCCAGCTGCTTAAGTAGACCTCGGTCTCGGGGGTTAACGATGATAGTTAGCAGGCCTGCCACTGCGCATATGGTAGTGAGTACATTACTAGCCTACAAAACACAGCTGAAAAACTCTGAAAAGAGAGCTGAGGGGCGGTGCCTGGAAAGGATGTTAGCCAGCTCTCTTGAGCGAACCACATCAGTCATTGAAAACACTTGGGGTTGGCAAAAAGGTCCCATTGGGGACTAGTTGCTGACGTGGAAACGTCCCCCACCAGTACCAGTACCAGTACCAGTAACACACCCACAAAAAATATGTGCCCTGCTGCATGTAAAAACCTATATTATTTTGGCAAACATATTACCGATAGGAAGAATCTTGTTTTCCCGCGCCCATATGGTACGGAATATTGACAAAATATGACTATCGATGGGACTTCAGGAGATAGCCTATACTTCCAGCTAACTGTTTTAATTCTGAACGATTTGAAAAATGTCAGGAAAGTCTACCAATTTGCACAACATTTGAGCTTCACTCATATGATATATAGAATATGCCACTATAATATAGACGAAATTGCGTTCCAGCCACCTCAGGCTGGTCCATATTCATTGTTATTCAAGAAAAACGAATGTGAAAAACAGACCCATTTTGACCAATTTGCACAAGCCCAGCAGAAATGAGTATCATTTTTTTTACCAAGAAAAGGAATGCCGAACTATACTGCCAAGTCTGACTGTTCGTAAAATCGTTCTGTCAAGGGTTTTTCCACGGCAAATTTGAGACGAAATTTTGACCAATCTGATGCACAAAATCCAAAACAGTAAATCCGAGTTTGTTATGTTAAACCAATGCTTTCTTTTCGTGAGAAGAAGCAGTATGCATATTTTGGGGTTTGTGCAGATTGGTCAAATATTGATGATTGTTTATTGACAAAATAGGACCGATTCGAGGTGTCAGAAACTTGAATTTGCTAATAGTAGGTGTTGTTCTCGCTATCTTGCATATGAGTGACATTCGAAACTTGTGGAGATCGGTCGTTTTTTCTTGACATCAGCTCCCCTACTATACGGCGGTGATTATATTTTCAGAAACATCGACATATCTCGGAAAATGTGATGGATGAGTCGACATGAATCAGGTTCTCTGAACTCAGAATAAAAAGACCAATCGAACCGTGTGAAAAAGAGTAGCTATTTGAAATGAGAAAGTTGGTGCCGACTTTTGGCACACCCTGTATAGCATACAAATTTTCAAGTTTTTAATCCGACTGCAACTTTGGAAACTTGTAATGTGTGACCTACGTAAATCGCCCTGTATAATTTGTATGAGTTGACAAATTATTGAAAACATGTTGCGCTTGATATAAAATCAGTTTTACCAATGACAGATCCACCTCACTTCTGATTAGTTGACACCTTTGTTATACGGTTATAGGAACAGGTTCATTCCGTATATATTTGAACAGCTTATATACAGGGTTCATCATTGAACTCATTGAAGATGAATTAAAACTTCGAATACTAAAGTTTTGAAGGGCTTGTTCTGATGAACCTCCAGAGAATTTTACGTGGTGAAACGAATGAATTTCGCTGATATAAGATATGGATACCATCTTCGTATTTTTTCAATAGATCACGTTATATATTTTTCGAAAAAATTGAGAATATTTCGTTCTTGATTTCAGAAAGATATAGGTTGTTGATATAGGTTGTTGATATTCGGTTCAGCCGTTTTCAGAATATTCGAGGTTGAACATTTTTTAGTTACATTTTGGTTATACCAAATCGCATGAGTTTTCATGAAGAATTAACAATACATACACTTAGAAAATACTATAGAAATTCTGATCAATGCCGATTTAGTAAAGTAAATCAATAGGTACCTAATTCTAAGATGGTCGACCTTGAATATTTCATAAATGGCTGAACTGAATATCCGTCATCTATATATTTTTGAAATCAAAAAAGAAATACCTTACTTTTTTTAAAAATATATAGGATGTTTCATTGAAACTAACGAAGTTGGTAACCAATTCTTTCATCAGTGATATTCATTTGTTTCCCCTTATACAATTTTCTGGAGTTTCAGAACAAACCCTATTTTTGTATTCGAAGTTTTCTTCTATCTTCAAGAGGAACATTCTCATTCAATTTCCTTCTTCTTTTCCAGAGCGTCAACATGATAATGGAAAATCCAGAATGATACTCATTTATACGTATAATGTTCATAATGATAATTGGTATTCATCAGTAGATTTGTTTCTTGTTTTTGTTGATTTACATACACTTTCTTCCTTTTATTAATTTCTATTTGTTTACCTCGCAATCATTTTTTTCAATTATTGTATTCATCCAGACAAAGCGGTACAATAATTCATTGTCATCTAAAAATAGATTCACTATTAGAATTAATCTGTTGAGGTAATAGAATATAAAAAATCTAGAGATAAAGATCCTGATTTCCATGTAGGTACTATATCGACGATTACATCAGCGTCACATATTTATTGATAAACAAAATATTTTTGATGATTTATTTTTACAAATTGTTCATTTTCATTGCCATTATCGAACCGATTTCAAGATGATTACGAATGAGTCTGTTATCAGATTTCAGGTCTGTGAAATTTACGGAAATTTATGCCACATCCATTCTCCACAAATTCGTTGCAAAGTTCAGAAATTTAGTTCGATGTTTGTTATATTTCTGCTATAAAATATATACTAAATTCCCTAGAAACGAATTATTCAAGCCGAAGAACAAACAGTGAAGATAACTTGAAAGGAATTAACAAAAATGGTTGATTCAAATAACAGTCGATGCTATAAAAGTTAGAATTACCATATACAGGTTATCCCATTTTGAATAAAACCCAGCCTGAATGAGTCTTATGGTTCAATATATCTCGAAATCTCGAAATCTCGAAATCTCGAAATCTCGAAATCTCGAAATCTCGAAATCTCGAAATCTCGAAATCTCGAAATCTCGAAATCTCGAAATCTCGAAATCTCAAAATCTCAAAATCTCACCAAAATCTCAAAATCTCAAAATAAATATTTTTCATCATCAGAGTTTTAATGTTTCGTTTTGAATGAGTCATCTTGTATATCAAAATCTCACTCATGTATAAAAATTTATATAGATATTCAAATCAAATCGAATAGTGGCCAATCATGGGTAATTATTAATTATACTGAACATAAATATTGGCTAAGGGTATTTTAATCCGTTCATCCATCGACTATAATAACAATAGGTAGGAGAATCGAAGGAATTTATAACCTCCCTCACAAAAATATTTCAAAAAAGCACTTGACACATCGACTTCATTTTTTTATAATGCAATTATTGAATTCAATATCCTATATCTTGAGTGTATCGAAGAAATGCCTATGAACGAGTCATTTCACAGCGCAGTCACGCTCTCACTATTTTTGGCCTTGGAGATGATAAATATTTTTTTACATATTTTACCACACACTGTATAACGCCTGCCGTGCCACCCTCACTAATAATTGAATGGACGATGCTCGACTTTTGTTCGATAATATTTTTTATGATGCAATTCGAATGTCAATAGTCCCTATTTTTTTTCATAATGAACATTATTGTATTTGCCATCTGATTGATTCCATTTTAGTTTGTAATCAGATCAACAATCTGATAGTGGTGACAAATATTTGGTTCTAGGAATTGTTTTTTATATTATAATTTTGATTAGAAAACGGGTTCAAGTAGATATCAATTCGACAGGTGGAAACATATTTATGGATTTCACACGAGTGAACATTGTTCGACCATATGGGTCCACTAAATTGACTAAAAATTTGACTCAACTCTCTGAAAGACATGAAGATCAACGGTCAGAATTATAGCCTACAGCACGTAAAGCCGCAAATCTAAAATTCAATTTTCTTTCAGGCAGCTGAAATTTTATATGAGGCGGGAAATAAAAGCATAGCCGATGGAACACTTGGGAAAAATATAAGTGTAGATTACCGATTTTACGATGACAGTTGCAAGCAAGATAAAGCTTCTGGAAACTTGGTCTTGGCGACAAAGGACGATTTGTGTATCCACGTGATGTTTGGTCCTGTTTGCGATTACTGCATAGGTAAGATTTACTAAAGTATAAACAGACGTAGTCAATATTTGGAAAGCGTTCGGACTTCGGTCCGACCCGACCTGGGTCAAGATACTTCACCATGTACTCACGGCGTCGGGGTTGAGGTAGCCCCAGGTGACTCCAGACACCTCCAGACACCACTGGTTAAAAGCTTGAGGTCCCCACTCTTGTCATGGTAGCGGTACGTGTAAAAAGCCGCGAACGGACACCCATCAAAACGGGACTGGAGGATTCCGGTCGACATGGGTAGCTATGGGCTAGCTCAGCGAAAAATGGAACTTTGGTGTCGTCAAGGAGGGGGCAGCCTCAAGCGATCTTACCGCCAGTCATCGTAGGCAAAGCCGGGTCCTCTTCTGTAAACGAGGTAGAGGAACGTGTAAAAGTCCTCGAACGATCACTCATTCAACGGGACGAGAGGATTCTTGTGAACAGGCCGAAGCCTCTTGCGACGGTGACCCATCAAACGTAACAAGATGAATCTTGTTGACATGGGTACCTTGGGTGATGAGGATAGCCCCATCAGGTCGTACATGCGGCCTGATGCCTCACCAATTGGGTTGGACTCCAGGGGCCAGCGGTTTCCAAAAAACACCACCGGACTACGGTAGAGGAGGTGAAGAAGAATCCCACTATGGGCCAAGTGGGAGGATTTCTTGTCTGCCTCGGCGGATGAGCAGCGTTTCTGCTCGGGCACTGACACTTCAGAGCCAGTAGTCTGTCTTATCAGACGGCCTCACCATTGGTATAATAGAATCTTAGCAGGAGAACATGCCGTTACATAACGGCGATGGCTCTAGCGCGCTGATTTGGCGTATCCAAATCATCCATCTCTCCCGGGGGAGCTGTCGGTATAAGTCGAAAGATAGGTGACCGGCAGTCATCCCATATGGGAGTCTTGTGGGAGGGGGTTGGAATTTGGTCCCGCCCGGTTGCTACCCCGGCAACATACTGTTTGATGGGTCGAGATACTATGCCAATACGAACTAAACATTGGTGCATCTCACACAACACAGACAAAATCTACTAACATGCGATTAGTGTCGTAAAATGACGGTATAAGGACTAAACATTGTTCTGAAATTGGTCTAACTGTCATTCGGTTGCCCTCTTACGAGCAACCCTCAGAAGTTTTCAAGAGACTTGTGCGAACGAAAGACTGGAACGTTTGATCCCAAACAGTTTCTTGGGCCATCAGAAAAATTTCTGCAGTCGGGGTGTCGGGGATTTGAACCCACGACCGGCAAGCCATCGTGATTAGAATACTAACGCTTCTACCACGCGTCTACCTGACCAGACTACTCCAGAAGGCAGGACAAGTAGAGGTTGCTATACCAAAAATGTATCTTGTTTTAGGCACTATTGGAAGAACTGCTAAATACATCGATATACCAAATTTGACACCAACAGCGCTGAGCAGTGACTTCACTAAAATAAAACAGAGTCTAGATGACGAATATTACTTCCTTCTCAACTCAGGAAGTACGGATTTTAGATCCGTTGCAGAATTTTTTGAGTTAATACTCGACAGGTGAGTAGATAAGGTTGATGGAAAATTACTTCAGCATCGCATAAGGTTGACGTTTTTAGGTATGGTTGGAGAAAATTCATCCTGATGTATGAGAGATACCAACAGGAAGAAGTGGGTGGGGAGGACACTTGTTATCTAGGTATGAGTAGTCTGGCTACGGAGCTTGGAAAATTTCAGCCAGATTTTGTCGACGGTGACTTGAGATTGCTAGGAATGAATTATACCGAATTCCTTATGAATAAAGTTGGAGTGGACTACGGAAGTAAGTAACTTATGTGCCTACTTTTGATAATGAATTTTCCACCTATTTGCACAGAATTCAATCCAGAAAATCGATTGGCATTTCTCTCCCAGGTGAAAAATCGCTTGTTGGATTCTCAAATTGTTGTATATTGTTAATTCTTTGCCGAACAAGTGTTGTTTCTGTGGGTTTCTTCATAGATTCAAACCGGGGGGTGAACCACCTTGGAATTATGATGTACAAACATGTTGGATTCTGTTGTGGAATCAATAGGAGATGAGTAAATCGCGAAAAAACATTTCGGAGCAAAATTTTTGACGTATAAATCGCTGCCAACTTTTGAGAAGTTATTATATTATTATACCTTAGGAACAAAATATTTCATATCAGGGCACGATTTTTCGATGATATCAGTGGACTAATTATTTGCTTAACCCTTATGTCAAGGCTATCTTCAATTACAGCAGTCCAGTTTCCTACAATACAAATTCAATTTTGAAAGTTATTCCATCGAAGAATGGGATTTGGGAATCTGGTGTAAACATTTTTTGAAGCTGGTTCAACCCCCAAGTTCACCCCTAGAATCAATCTGCTGCTTCTTCTTCTTTTTCTTCTCTACACGGGTGGGCGGGTGCAGCACTCTTCAGTCGGGCCCATTGTGCGTCCACATAACCTGTGAATCAGCTGGGCATACCTATTTCTATGTCGAAATTCAGCAGCTTCCTCAGCTTAATCACTTTCACATCCTTTGAGTGCAATGAAATGCTCTTCTTCTTCTTCCTTCCGAAAGAGGTATCACTTGACCAATGTTTCTGTTTGAAATTCTTGAACAGGTGGTTCTCTAGGAGTACGATCGGAATATTGCATTGTTGTGACATTGAATAGAAGATGCAACGACCGGTGGCATAGCTTATCGCTGTTACAATTTTTCTATTTCAAAATATGTTATTTGGGGGATGATAATTACCCCTTCCCTCCTCCACAGGCACGTGCCTGGCTTATAGTATTATATGCCAAATTTATTCATCTTTGTGTGAACAGGTCGGCTGCCTAAGTGAGGTTTAACCTCAGAGGGTTTAACTAGTCATTCAGTAATCTTTGGTTTAACAACGTAATCACCTAGACACCAGAATACAATCTTCAAGGAATCTTGCATAAGGATATCATTCTGAGGAAAATAGTCTGATCATAAGAATGAATGAATTCAAAATATCCATTTTGCATCTTTGTCTTCTACAAATACAGCGTCAAATAATAATTTCCGTTTCCCCATAAAAATAGATTATTGAATATGCACCGTGATAATAAAAATCGTTTATATTTTCAATGGTTATATATAGAAAAGATAAATTTGTCACGATATTGGATATAGATAATATGTAGGTATCATGAAAGAAACGAGAGGTGTATTGCAAACAAACTCGAATAGATATATACTTTTTAAGGAATATTCCCTTTATCCTTTGCTAATTCTGTTCACCATGAGGTAGAATCGAATTTCATGGGGGATAAGCGGGTTTAACTCTTTTTGAGTTACAGTTTCTTACAATCTCTTTCAATCCTCTTTTTCAAACTAGAATTACTTAACATCTGAGATATGTTTTTTCCTTGTTATCATTATTACATTTAAAATCCTCAATCATATTTTATCTCTAAATTCTTATACTTATATTATAATTCCTCATATAAGATTGCATTCTGAAATTATTATTTCACAAAAGTTTAACAACCTTCTTATACCTATTCATTTTCTAGTAATCATAACTTGTACGAACCAAACAAATATGAGGAAAATAGCGATAGAAGCAGCAAAACTGAAGATGATGGACCGAGGGGAATATACTTTCTTTAACTTAGAATTATACAATAAGTAAGTATTCTCCTAGTATCTAAAATATATTGTTTCCTTCAGAAAGTAGGTCCCTTTTATCAAGGTTCTGATATAAAACCTAGAACGGTACTTTGTGGAACTCCTGTTTTTACTTTGATCAGATATATCAAATTTGCCACAAAGATTTTTGGTTAAGAGTGTACATAGCACGTATATGACGCTTCCGGTTCAACTCATACCCATATACCTACGGCTTTCTCTTTCAGAATTTCTGAACAAAACAAGATGCATATGATACTATTCCTTCAAAGTCCACAATATCTATGTTCATGATCTACGAAAACCAGATCTAAGAATACGGATATTGTTTCAACATATTGGGTTCAGCACCCAAACCATACGCTGATGCTCTTAAATTGTATGCAGAGACGAGCTACTCGCCTGGTTGGTGATACCACACTTACATATAAATTGATACCTTCTGCAAACTGGTTATACTTCCATCAATAGCAATACTAGTCAGACGAAGTCGGGTTAGCACAGCGTTGCCAACCATTGGATTTACGATTATGGTACCAACAGCTTGAAATTATGGTACAATATCTGAAATTATGGTACGCGCAAGTGACCAGTCACACTTTGGAACATTGCTCGTATGAAAATTTAGATTCAGAACAAAATTTTCAATTATTTTCACCAAAACGAATGAAAAACAACAACGTTACCTAACAGAATCATTCCATTCTTATGTTCTTCTATTCTCATTGTCAAGTTAGAGTTAAGCTATATTGTGAATCACACGTAACAAACGTTATTACAGATTCGTGCAGTATATCATTATGTTTTGTGAAAAACGTTTCGAATCAACTGTCAAATCAGGAATGTTGACGAATGTCACTTATCACCGGAAAGAAAATTTGGTGAAAATTAACTAGCCAAATTATGGTACGAATACTATAATTATATATGGTACGGATGGCAACGCTGGGTTAGCACACCTCTATGTCGTCAGCGTTGAGATTCATCGAACAAATCCATACCAGAACTTGTTTGTCTAATGCCATAAGTAAGGCAAATATTCAACTTAGACCTTATAGCGCTTCAAAAGATTAAAAAACATCGGTATACCTACCAAATTTTAGCCATATTAAATCAAAATGATAACAAAGATACATGGGAAGAAGCTGATATTGATAAACCACACCTTGTTTTAGTGCTACGAACCCTTCACGACCATGGTTGTGCACTAATGATACCGATGAAAATAACGCTCTGGCGAGAAAAGGTTACGAAGCAATCTACACCATAATGCCTCACTCCGAGACAAATTTCTCCATGGTTGCTAGTCAACCTAAAAGGGGTAGCATGTTCCTGGATGGCCTCTACGATGCCATGATGATGTATGTGCAAGCACTGAATCGTACTCTGAACAGGTCAGGAGCAATCGGAAAGCAGGATATCTCGGGGTGTGAGCTAGTCCACGAAATGATGGGGAAATCTTTCAAAGGTAAGAGAGATAATTTCATACCAAATGATTCTCTATATTGCATTCACGATATACAGAGAAGTGCACAAACAACGGCGAGGATTGTAACTTTCTAATTATTCTAGATAGTGTTTGGAAAATTGGTGCATGGGCAGCAATTCTACGAAATTGCTCATTAATTGATGAAACAGTTTTTCTTCTAGCACTTCCAGTTTCACCGGAAATGACCCCAAATTTTGATTTTTAAATGGGACACACTGTATTGTATTCCATAACTCACTTCTCTGTTTGTGTTTTGCATATAAAATCATACATGGACAAATAGCACATTTCATATTCCTGTTTCCAATACAGGGCATCATTCTCATTCCCCTATAGCCACTATATCTAGAAGTGTTTATAAGGTTTCTAGTGTAGATATATTTTTTCTAACGTTCAAACAATTCGAAAAAGAGAGTCTCCATTTCATTCAGCATTGACTCTATGTGTAATTATATATAATGATAATGATTGTATTCACCTGTAAATGGGCTTTTGGGCCTGTTGGATGTATTGTACCAATATATAAATAAATTCAACATAACTCCAAACTGTGAACTTCAAATGTTTTGATGACCGGCGAGGTACTATATCCTCCAATAGGACGAAATAGTATGTATCTTCCTATATTGAAACAATAATCACTCAACTCAAATTTCCAAACATCGTTGACTATAAAGGACTGATGTATATATATATATACAGAAAAAACATCGAATGTTGTATCACAGAATGTTGGAAAAAAGACTCATTGAGTGGTCTGCACTTCAATCTTGGCCACTACCCAGGTAGAACATCATATTGGCTAGAACTTGGTTTCATATTAGCCCAATATTCGAATATTGAATATGGAATTACTAGATTGCACCAATATCAAACCAATTTCTCATTTCAATATTCGATCATCAATCCATTGCCAATATTTTAATAACATTGAAATTTTGTGACCAGCCGATATCAATTTGTCAATATTTATTTGATATTGGAGGAATATTAACGATCACAATATGTCAATTTTCATGATGGGCTGATATTGCATTTCCAATATCAAATCGATCTTGGAAAAAAATATTGACTCAATATCCAATTTATGATGGTTAGTGAATATTGCATTTCATTGTCCAGCAATGTTGTAATAACATTGAAATTTTGTTTCCAGCCGATATTTATTTACCAATATCTATTCGATATTGGTGAAATATTGACGATCACAATGTCAATTTCCATGATTGGGCTAATATTGTATTTCCAATATTGAATCAATCATGGAAAAAAATATTGCATCAATATTAGATTTATGATGGTTGGTGAATATTGTTCTTCGTTGTCCAACAATATTGCACTGATATTGGTGATTCAATATCATTTCGATATTCAATAATCAATCCAGTGCCAATGTTGTAATAACATTGAAATTTTGTGACCAGCCGATATCAGTTTGCCAATATTTATTTGATATTGGCGAAATATTAACGAATACAATATGTCAATTTTCATGATGGGCTGATATTGTATTCCCAATATCGAATCAATCTTGGAAAACATATTGTATCAATATTTTGTATTTTTATTCAGCCAATATTAGTTCATCAATATGCGACCCATTTCAGATAGATATAACTAATGAAATATGCCAGAACCAATATTGCACTGACATTGGATTTCTAATATCGAATCGATATTCGTGATATTTCTCTTAGTATTTGAGCTACGTTATAACAGCTGGCGCCACTAGCACGCCTCCAACAAACGACTGCTGAGAGACATGAAATACCGCATTCGTTCAACTTGCAAACTAAGTATTCTGGGATACAGGAAACGAAAATGGATTTGATATTGTACAAATATCGCAATTTTTTAATGATAGCCTCATATGGCTTCGAATTTTGATTTCGAGTTTTGTTGAAAAACGAAATTCAATATTGGTTGAATATTATAATTCAACATGAAGATAATATTGAAAAATAATCACATCCTCATTTTAGCCAATATAGTAGGGGAATATGAATTCAATATCGATTTCACATATGAAAATTATAAGAAACCAGTTTTCTATAAGTTGGCATCATATATTTGTCCAATCTTGTATACGAATATTAACTCGATATTGGATAGAGCATATCGAAACAAGATTGAAATGCAACATAGCACCAAGATTTCAGAATGTTCACATTGATTTATTGACCCAATAATTAAAATTAATATTTTCCCAACATTCACCATTTATTGACTCAATATTGAACCAATATTAGTGTTCTACCTGGGATATTCGCATGGGTTTACACGAAGAGCAGAATAGCAGATGGAATTTGAATAAGAAAGGGACTGTCAAGAGAGAAATTGGCCAACTCGATGGCACTTCAGAGTTTATTCCTCGCGTATACTGTTAGATTTACGTGTATAGAGAAAAGTCCATGAAACTTTCCTTGAAAAATTGATTCATAGGTCATGCGTCACATTACTGTTCAGAAATATTCCAGAGTCTGTGAATGAGCATTCTGAGTTTTATTCTATTTTCATCTTTCGATAGAGCCGTTTGTGTGTTCCTTCGGAAGGTTGTATTTCGATTCACAAGAATTGAACTTCTGGTATGCTGCTGAAACTCCAAAGGAACTTCTAGAGAAAAAATATTGCTAGGCTACTTCTACCGTTCTGCACGTTTTTTTTTTAGTCAGTCAAGTAGCGAGTCTCAGAGAGACAGTAGACAGTAGTGTCGTGTTCGCTTCTGCACCCGAATAACGTAACAATATGATAAAATACAGAAAAACAATATTCACACCGATGAAGTTGATGTATCTCCTTAGCATGTTGTACTTGTTGAATCGGCTTCAAAGTCGTGTTATATGGTCACTGAGATTGTATCCGAATGAAAATGTATGGGTGTCAGGTGCAAAAATGCAGAATTACAGTATGCAGATAGTTGAAGTCGAGGTTTCTTGATCTGACTGTTGAATGCATTATCCTGCTTCTAAGCCATCTCATATGGTTTCTAGTTTCTATACAATCGTAACTTCTCAAATTTGAGGCATGTAAGATGCTAGAATGCAGAGTTATAGTGTGGACATTGATGAAGTCAAAGTTTATTGTTCTTCCTGCTGTATGCATTAGTTTCGCTTCATTGACGTCTATGGTCATTGCAAACTGGTCTGATTCAAGAATTGGTGGAACTATGACAACTATTCCCTGACACCTGCCCTCCTCCTACCATATACATATTGATACAAAAGACATGGTTCTGAATTATTACTCATTCCTATAATAATTGTACACCTGTATATCACGCCTTATTCAAACTAAGTTTTTTCAATATCCTGATTTCACGGAGTTAGCTAGAACCTTTGATAATATATTAGCTCATTTGAAAGTCTTCTTTCCAATGTGTGGCAGTGAACTTGTAGGAGTGGAAACTCCTACACGCTGCATATTCCTGCAAAATTATAGTCAGCAAATTCTTGTAATTTAAAAGAGATATCACACTGGGATGAAATTCTGAATTCAGAATACTCGAGATTTGGTCTGGAATTAGGCTAGGTTAAACATTGATTACTGTCCAACCTTCTTTCCTAATGGACCGAAATTTGATATGACCAGTTCTTGAAATGGATTCGGTAGGATTGATCGACTATAGTTATCTACAGGATCGAATCGTATTTATCCCGAATGAGTCAACAACCGTCCACGCGCAGTCTAATTACAAATTTAATCACATCTCAGCTTCAATTAACTAAATACAGAGAACACATATAGGATTTCCGATGGGTGAGAGCACATTCTCGAATTACGAGGATGACATTATAGGAGAAAATTAGTTGTTTTGTTGACTTCTCCGTATGTATATTTACTAGGATTATTCCGAATGCTGCTTGCCTATTATGATAAGAGCTTATTGGATGAGATAGTAGCACTGCTATGTGTTATATATCCCTGTTGGAGTCAGTCCAATAACCCGAAGGAATATTTTAGGGCATAATTCAATATTTACTAGAAGTTAAATGAAAATCATGACGTTGCCAATATGCATGATATTTTTCTCAAAACCATTTCATGCTCATTTGAATTTCGCTGGAATAAATCTTGCTTTTCGATTGAGAAACACATTACTGAAATTCGATGAAGAAGGGGATTTCCTCAACCATAAACTAATTCATTTGGAAATTATTTCCTTCCTCAGGAAAGAATGAGGAGTTCGAGGTAAATTGCAATGGGATTAGAGTACGGAAGTTTGCAATGTTGAACATCAACTCTGAGGGCGACTATGAGATTATGGCCACTTATTCAACTAGGAACAAGACAATTGATTATTGGAATATCAGATGGAGATTCGGAGAGCCTGGAGATACGCCAGCCTGTGGATATGATCTGTCGAAGTGTCCTAGTAAGTATTTTTATTTTTTCGAATAATTAGCCACTTCTTTCCTAATTTCAGCATACGACATTGTGATGATACTGGTTGGGTGTTTGATAGTTCTCGTATTGTTTGGACTGGCAAGTGCAGGTTACATTTGGTACAGGTGAGATACAACGGCAGGGCGCTGCAATTGAAAAGCTTATATAGGGTGTATCTGAATAACACCGAAAAAATTCAAGGGGCGATTCCATGTGATATTTTAGGAAATAAAGTTCATATGAACATGTGTCCTAACTTGCTTTGTTTTCGAGATACAGGGTATTAATATTTCCATGAAAAATTTTATTTATAACTCTATTGTCTTTCCATCAATTTCAACAAAACATTGTGGTTTTGTTAATAGTAATATTGAGCTTCTTCTGGTGGAATTAGATTCGAAATGATATTTCCAGTGGCGTCACAGTGGAGTAAATTTATCGATATTGATTGTGAATGTCATTAGTACGCCGGTTTTCCCGAGTTTCATATTTCTATTAGATTGAACTAATAAAATAACAACTTTTTTATCCTCTATGTAATTTTTGTATCTAGCTTAATTTTTGAGGAAACAATAAAAATTCGATTGACACCAAATTTCAATGTAGGCGTGTTTTCAAGACTTTCATTGAGATGACTCAATAACCCCAATTAGAATCATTTTGAAATTTTGGGTCTTTCTCAGTCTCCAACCATACTGAATTTTGGTACCATGAAAGCTTATACAGGGGGATTATAAATAAAACAATTAATACTTCCAACTTCAACATCCTGTATCTCAATAACGGAGCAAGTTAGGTCACATGTTTATATGAACTTTATTTGCTAGAATATCACAAGGAATTACCCTTTGAACTTTTTCGGTGTTATTTAGATACACCTTGTATATAGTTCCATTATACGAAAGGAACCATGATATATCTAAGGATATGGTCAAATTCGAATGACTCCAAACAAATAATATACCGGGTGGTCATGAGAATCGGACGGCCCCTGTAACTTTTTGAATCGTTCGAGATGAAATTTTGAAATTTGGAGGGTTCATATAAAATCATATTTTGCATTCACTGATGATGATTATGCTCTTCGAATTACTTCCGGTGTCGCCGGAAATGACCTCAACTTTTGATTTTCAAATTTTTGGATTCAGGAGATCAATTTACATACAGTTGTACAATTTTCGGGTGAAAATTTTCTTTGCGTCAATTTTTAACTTGATTCTTGGAATCCTATCTAGGTGGCTGTTACTATTACTGCCATAAGTTGTTTTTGTTTCAGTTCATTTTCAAGAGAAAAAATAAAATCATACTATTCCACAACTATCTTGCCAATAATCAGCTCTCCGAGTGATCCTAAATGATTTTTCAAGAATAACTTTGCTTTTTCAAATGGAACGATGGGTCAGGTAATTTTCTTCGAAGAATATTCTTCAACTAATCAATGGATACCACATTTGTCAATATCCGATTGATAATAGAAACACAAAATGATTGAACTCAAAATAAATTCTGAAATATAGATTGTGATGAGTCTAGTTGGCTTTGATATATTTCTGGAAAAAATCATACAATGGCCTTGTTTCAGTGAAAACATTTATTTCATTATTCCGAAGTACTAATCCTAACTAGTTCACTGTCGCAAACCGTTTTTTCTTCACAGCTCTGTAATTTTTTTAAATAATTATTGAAATTCATGATATTCCATAACATGAAAGTAGCAGGAAAACGCGTGACCTAATCATCCAGAACACCATATGAGATTCGACTTACGTATCAATTCTCTATTTCTGATAGACAAGCGCAAGAATATTTCTGATCGTCATTCCAATCAGAATATGGAATGAATTATCTGAATTGAATACTTACTACAGATGACAGAGAACATAACAGACATAACTAAATAATCAGATAATATGAGGATTATCTTTGAATATTCGCATCTTGACTAGATGAAACAAGGATGTGACGATGAAGGTGACAGCCGATATAAACGTCAGGAAGTTAGGTTGACAATGTAGTTTGTCTTCTTCTTATATTTTTGTATTTCTGGGAACTTAGGCAATACACTATTGCCCGTGCCACAAAATGATTTGGGATTAAATAAAATCTCGATCATTAGTAGATTAGATTAGATTTAGAATGGGGCCTTCGGGCTATCTGCCTTCACACCGCGACCTTTTCAGATCTATTGTGTCTGCCCTCAAAATCGATTAGAGTTCTTCGGCTAGCCCCGCCTTCTCTATGAGACTCCATAGGCTAGCTTTCAGATCCCCTGTGTATCTTTGGGCTTCTGGCTTTTCCTCACCCAGCGTAAGGAACCTTAGTCTTGACAAGCCCTCACAGTGGCAAAGTATGTGTACTGCTGTTTCCTCTTCTTCCTGACAGAACCTGCACAACTAAGTCCCACTAGTATTCTAGTTGAACTTAGTTTCTGGCTCAGTAGATACTCTGTGAATGTTGGCGATGGTTTTTCAATAAACTTGCCTGTCTCATACCTGGCGAGTTGTTCCACCATTCTTGAGATTTGGTTTGCATCCATGTTTTGATACTAGTCTTTTGTGTAGCTTTTGCAATACCACAGAAGGGTTCTGGGCCATTCAGAGCTTTGTTTGCTCCTGCTCGGACAAGTGCAAGCCTCTTCAATGCACTCGTACCCTGTATGTGCTGGTACCCAGACTAGAGTAAGTCTGTTTTGATCATTAGTAGGAATACTATATTTTTATGGGCACTGAAGCATCTTCCAAGTATAGTCTTCTGTGATTGTGAATACTATTGTCATTGGTCATATCTCATAAGGTAATTACTAGTTACAATTCTGGCAGCGTCGAAATATGTGATCCTACTTTTTATGCGAAAGCCAGAATTCGGTTCATGACGTCATCGAACCAAGTGTTTTTCGAAGTAGCCGAATTTAATTATCGAAAAAAAATATTTGCGATGCTTTTAAATGAAGAATGATTGCATCAAATACTATTTAAACACGGAATGGTCAATATACAATAGGTATCAATAAATGATCTTCTAAATCCTAAAATGTGAAAATATACAGGGAAGGGTGTCCCATTTGAAAGTTGACGTTATTTCTGCTGAAACCGGAAGTGATTTGAAATGTGCAATTGCATCATTGAATAAGTGATTCAGAAGTTACAGGGGTGGCCCGGCTCTCGTGGCCACCCGGTATAGGGAATATTATTCAGCAAACAATACTCACAATTTTTTCTTCTGAAAATTGATTGAGGTAAAATTTTGGTACCCAGAAGAATTAATATTATAATTATTATGTATTCAATGTGTGATTTCACTTCAATTCTGTTGACTGCTCAGATCAGTTCGCCACGCAATGTTTCAACTGATTCATACGGGTGTGAATAAATCGAGAGATAAACAATGTTTAGAGGTAGTGAATTCTCAAACAAAGCCTCCATTAAAATGAATACTTATGGCTAACAGACCGTGAAGACTCCCATATGAATTTCCACTGAATTTTCAGTTCCAGCAGTTTCTCTGTTTGCTTTGTTCCAGGCAAAGGAAGTTGAAATCTGAAATAGAAGCCAGAGCGTGGAAGGTCAATTATGGTGATATACTATTCTTGAATTCAAAACCACGATCCAGTATTTCCAGTGGTGTTTCCTTGCGGGTATGTAGATTAATATAATGATGGATCATTCAGAATGACATTAAAACTAGGAACCTCGCTTCACCAACGTTGAAAAAGGTTTCAATGGCCTCATGCAAATCTATGCAGTCGTATAATTCTCGGGATGATTTGCATCATCTTTTTTCGAATTTACATGAGATTGGATTGAGTTGGGAGCAAATATCGCGTAAATACGGGGAGTACCAAATCATCAACTCTCCTTTCCTTCAGTGAGATAGTCCTTTCTAATCCAATAAATGATAAGATCGGATAAGATTTCGATCATTCAGTATAATTGTGTGACCAATGTGCCTATAGGGATTATGAAACAGTTTTGTTATTTCTCATACTTAATTAGCCCTGTATTATCCTCATCATTGAAATTTGGTACGAATCAGAATTCAGAAGATTGAATGAGTTTTTCCTGATTGGAGCAATATTTTCAGTCAAACCTCGATACAATCAGTCTGATAGGCGGCAGACCAACTTACGGTCAGTTGGCATTCTACAAATCGATGAAGGTGGCTGTGAAAGAACTATCCAACGTGAAAATCGAGCTGAATCATGACAATTTGTACGAACTGAAAGTGATGAAGGACTTGTCTCACGAAAACTTAGTGAAATTCCATGGTGCTTGCTTAGACGGTCCGAATTGTCTGCTAACAGAGTACTGTCACAGAGGCAGTCTGCAGGATCTACTGGAAGATGATAAAATCAAGTTGGACTGGACCTTTCGAATCTCTCTTATCAAAGACTTGGTGAGTGGAATGTACTACCTGCATCGGAGTCCAATCAAATCGCACGGTGCGCTGAAGTCCTCGAATTGTTTAGTGGACATTAGATTCGCTTTGAAGATAGCTGATTTCGGATTGTCCTTCCTCAGGGTGCATGATGCTGATCAGGATATGTACAATAAGGAGTACCATTCGTTTTGGCAGAGTGAGTATTTTATTAAGCCACTGGCATATATTGACACGATTGTGATGATATCATTCCAGTGAATCAGTTTAGTGTAATACGTAGGTACTATATATACAGTGCTTTTCTTTAATGCCCCCCCCCGTTCATTTTTTGAACGGGTCAACTAGAAAGTTTTAACTTGAGATAATGACATTGATGCATGAATTCTATATTTTGGAGTGAAATTGATAGATAAAAATTTCAAGATGGCGGCTGGGCGCCATCTGACAAAAAAAATTATAGGAAGAAGGGTCTTGTAACACATCTTATTGAAGCTCCTGACGAGTACTTCACAACTCTAGAATATGAAGTCAATATCTTGACCTACTACAAGATGGCGGAACATAGTTGCCTGATTACAAAAAGCATTATTATATATTCATTGAACTAAATTCAACAGGTGGACTGTATTTGAATATGCTGGAAAATACTTTTGTTTTTCTAATCACCGAAATCGTCGAAGCAAATTGTAATGAATTCCATATGGATATTGTATTCCAACAACATGGAGCACTACCACATTACTCTAGACAAGTGAGAAACTATCGATAATATATACAGGGTGTCCCTAGACCAGTGGGACAGTTGAATATCTCCTGAACCAATAGGAATTTTCGAAATATTTTAATTCCACATCATATCGCATTATGAGTGCTAACTTCAGGAATGACTATAATATTTTCTACGAGGGGCGCAAGAAAGGCTCACAAAATCGAACATCAATTTTTTCAAATGGAACACCCTGTATTTCATTGCATTTTCATAATCTCCTTGAAACGCTGAATTCAACGACCTAGCACACTTGGGCTCTAACGGGAATGATTTCCGAGATATAGGGTGTGGAAAATCGAGATTTTTCATTTTTGGGAATTTTTTGTGTCAAAACTATTCATTATTGGTCAAAACGGCTTACATGTCCATGTCTTAACTTTTGATTTACTATTTACTCGTAATTAATTGAAACAAATACAGGGTGGTGTGGAATTCTGACTGAAACTGAGTGTGTTGCTCTTCAATAAATAGAGTCTGATGTACATAATATTATTAATATTCTTACTGGTATTCGATGTTACATACCATTATTCCCGAAAGCATTATGAAACATGCTGGAAACGTGATCGTGTTATCCGAGTCTATCCAACTATAATGAAATGAACAATAATTTAGACAGATTTATCCACATCGGTTTTCATTAATCTCTTATTTTCAATTCACTATTATATTCAATTCTCATCAAGCATGCCGATACTTTTGATTAAATTTGAAATCTCCTTTATGCAACTTGAATTTGAGGCATATGGATTGATCAAAGTTCAAGTTTGATTGTTTTTGATCTTCTATAATTCAACATAATTCGTGCACCCTCGCAATCACATTCAAAGCCTTGGAATCTTATGTATACAGTGTGTCCGTAAAGTAGGAATGAATTCGATATATTCTGAACATAAAAGCCTTTAAAAAAATCTGAAATACATTTTTTGCCCGATTTGAAATCAATTTTTGTTATCAGGATTACTGTGGACTGCACCGGAGCTCCTGAATATGAACCCGATCCCCCCCATGGGAACGCAAGAAGGAGACGTATATTCTTTCGGACTTATAATGCATGAAATTCTAATGAGAAAGGGCGTATTCTACCTCGGGGATATTCATATGGGTGCTGAAGGTAAGTTCAATCATATCATCAAATGAGGGGTACCTATATTATTGTTTACTATTCAATTGGTTACAACCAAGGTTACAACTCATTCAGTCATATGAAAATTCCTTTTGTAAATTCACCGATTATGCCGATAAGAATTCCATGATGCCCTGGTTAATTTACTAAGAACTTCCCTTCAACTTTGAATCCATTGCCACGGACTTTACGAATTCAAGTGAGGTGTACTTAGCTGTGTGCACGTGTAGATATGGGTACAAATAATTGTACTATATGTTACCTTCAACATAATGCACATGCCATATTACATTGGTCTTTCCATTTGAAAATATCGGAGATACTCTTCTTGTCAACAATTAAAGTCGGCACCTGTATGTACAACACATCAACACAAACAACATAAAACTGGCTGACGGACGTTCGAATGAGACAACAGAAAACCGGCGCTAATGAAATTTACGAGTATATCTAGACCACATACTTCACTCGTTTTTACCAAATTGTTTTTCTCCTAAAGGTAAAAGGTAAGTAGGTAAGCCATGCTGAAATTATAGTGAAGAATTGATTGGTTTGAAACATTTTTTTCAGGTATTTTCAATCGTTTTCTCCAAATTGTTTTCCTAGTGAAGAATTGATTGGTTGGAGAATTTGATTTCTGAAGTTTTTTCAATCGTTTTTCCCAATTTACTCCTCTCCAAAGAGATGTCGGTCAATGCTTATACAGTCATTCTCTTTCACTCATATTGATCTATTTCCCTGTGTGGAAATCAAGGTGCAGAACTGATTGGATTGAATATAAAATTTTTTGGGTTACCTATTTTCAATCGTTTTTTTCAATTGTTTTTCTAGAAATCATTATATATCTCTTTTCTATGTGAAAAATTAATGCAAATAAAACAAAGCCGTGTGAAAAATCTCATCACTGAGTGTCTCGAATAGTGTTGAGGTTATTAACAGAGATTTAGAAAAAATGTACAAATTTTGTCGTGCCAATTTGTTGAAAATCAACTGTGAAAAAACTGAGTTCATGGTGATTGGAAATGTCCAACAGTATACAAATTTCTAAGATAACAACTATGATATAAAAATTGGAAAGAGTAGATGAATTCAAATATCTTGGTGTGACCATAGATAAGCAACTGAAATTCAAACAGCATGCAAATGGTCTTATAAAAACAACAAGATCAACTATCTTTATAGATGTTCAAAATATTTGAGTCAATGGTCAAGGCACATTATTTTAACCCCAACTGTTGAAATGCTGACTACCTTGAAATGGTTATCAGTTAAAGATTTTGTCTACTATCAAGCTATCTTATTTTCATTTATAAAATAACAACTGGCTGTGCCCCTGATTACCTGCAGAAAAAGATAATTTACAACTATAACATCCATAATCATAACACAAGAAGTAGAACTAATTTTTATATAACGCCAGTAAGCAGGACAAATGCTCAAAATTCAATATTTTTCAAAGGACTGCAGCAGTTGAATACATTTCCAGACTCCATAAAAACTTCATTGTCACTGGATATACCTATTCAAGAGAAAATTGAAACAATATTTGTTTTGGGTTCTTTATTTTTTCAATTTTACTTGTATGTATTTATATGTTGAATGGTATGTATTTCATCCAGTATTTGTGTTCATATTTGTTATATTCATGAATGTATTTTTTCTCTTTACTTGTAAACTCTTGTATTAGTCATTGGCTATCGTCTCGTCTTCAACTCGGGAAAATTTTCAAAATATCCGTGTTCTCGATAAAGCTTCGGGTAATGATTGAAGGAAATACTGATCACTAGATATCAGTACAGTACTATGTGACTCTCTAATGAATTGGCGAATGTTAGGTTCATTGTATATGTGAAATGATCGATTTATTCTTTCAGTTGGTGAGTTGTTCACATGCACAATTCAGCCACAGCATTGTGGTATATTAATAATGTTTCAATCTGAAAGCATCGATCTGAAAATATAAAAATCAATATCGTTGAGTTATTTCCAAGGCCTGTATATCCGTGGCAGTTTGTTTCCTTGGCCATCAATCCTCAATTTTCCTTGGCGGATCAGGAACCAGCAATAATTACTCATTAGTGGAGATTCGAAGGAAAGAAGATTAACTACGAGAGGAACGATATACCCACATAAAATTCTCCCTTGTTGATTGGAAAGCACTGTTCTTCATTTATTCGACAGGCTTGCGGGATTTTTCCTGCAGCAATTCTGAATGAACAAGAAATATCGACGAGTGGAAATCATTCAGATCAGGAATTGGATCGTTACATGGTGGAATTATAATATGGCGTACTACGACGCATTGTTGTATACGTCACTGCGAGTAAAACAATTGCTCGCAGTCTGAGCTCGCAGTTATCAATTCGCCCAAGTCACTGTGATCATTTTGATGCGAGTATAGACTCGCGATACGAGAGCCTAAAGTTTTCGAACCATTCCCAAACGTCATTGTCAGATTGGTCACAGTGAATCACGTGATACAATATGGACGCAAGCGCATTCGCTCGTAAAAAAACTCATTATTAACAAATTATTAACGAGACCCTCTTTGTGCTTGTGAGATTTGATAGAAACTTATTTCTCTACCGGCTACCCTCTCGCTCACGAATTAATACAAAGCTGAGAACTTCTCTACAAATTCTATGATTTTTTTTCAATTATTGGTATAATCATTTTCGAATTTGGAATGACCCTTTGGGCTCAAGGGCGTCATTTCAGTGAATACCGCGGGGGCTCAAAAAACTTTTCGTACGGCGAAAATGCGCCGCGATCGAAAGTTCTCTTGGGTTCAAGTTCCAATGCCTTCAAATTGAAAATTAGATTTCTTCCAGAGTGAAAACAACTCCTTCACATTTTTATACAGGGTGAGTCATAACTATTGGGACATAAGCTGAGGGCGGATTGTTCGGACCAAAATATGATGATAGGACCAAATATGCCTCAATAAAATATTGGGGTTCAGCACCCAAACATACTCTGATGCTCTTTGAATCCATTCAAAGAAGAGCCATTCGCCTGGTGCGGGATGCCACACTCACTAACTCTTTCATATCATTGAAACACCGTAGAATAGTCGGCGTCCTTTCACTTCTCTATAGATACTTCCACGGGAATTGTTTTTCAGGAATCTCTGCTATCATTCCATCACTATATAGCAATACCAGTCAGACAAGTCTACAAGCTCGCAGTCAGCACATCGTTGTCAACCTCGAATATTTCGAACAGCACTTTATCAAAATTCGCTTGTCTACAGAACGGCAAAGCTTTGGATTTCATTGCCTAAGGAAGTATTCCCAAGAACTTATAACCTCCAAAAGTTAAAAAAATATTTAATACCCACCTTCTTTGCCAATCATCTCTTGGTACGCACGATGTATACTGGTACTGGAGGGGGACGTTTGCACGTCAGCAACTAGTCCCTAATGGGACTTTTCTACAAGCCCCAAGGTGTTTTTTAATGAGTGATGTGGTTCGCTTAAGAGAGCTGGCTAACATCCTTTTCAGGCACCGCCCATCAGCTCTCTTTCAGAGTTTTTTCGGCTGTGTTCTGTAGGCTAGTAATGTACTCACTACCATATGCTGCAGTGGCAGGCCTGCTATGTTAGAGACCGAGGTCCACTATGCAGCATTGGCCCGCTCTCACGCTCAGCTGGTAGTTTTCCACACCCACCTACCTACACCGTCCTACTTCTTCTCTGATGCTCACAACCACATCATCATCTCTTTCTGCATGTTCTGTGTAGGCTTTGTTACTAACTTCATGCGCCACTTTAGGAGCAGCACTGTTAATTGGAACGCAACAGCGAATCGTGCAGGACTATCCCAGTCGATGCTTCGAAACTTCACAATATTTAATTCGTAAATAAAATATTGAAAAAAATTCCTTGATTGGGCTGGGAATCGAACCCACGACCTCGCGGTCGTGAGGTCGTGACGACCGCGAGGTGATCGCACGATGTATACTATTCATTACTATCATCTCATTTTTTGGATTCTTGATAGTGTTGTGATATTATCTACACTAATTACAAAGAGGAAAGATTTGTTTGTTTGTTTGTATTCAATAGGCTCCGAAACAACTGGACCGATTTGAAGAATTCTTTTATCGTTAGAAGCCGACATTATCTCTGATGAACATAGACTACTTTTCATCACGAGAAAATTATTCCTTGCTACGAGAAAACGGGTAATAGGACAATGGGTAGTAAGTCTTTTTCACATAACTTTTAATCGGCTGAACCGATTGTGTTGAAATTTCATATTGGTATTTCGATGGTTTCCTGGATGATTTAAAAATACAATTGGACGCGGTAGGTGGCGCTGCTGTTGGTACGTCAACTACCAAACGGCTTGACCGATTGGGTTGAAATTTTTAATATGTAAAACAACAAAAAAATACAGAAGATACTGAGAGAATGAAAATAGGCGGAGTATATAATAGTAGGTATAGGTAAGCCTAAGAAAATAACCAACAAATGTGTACTGCAGATACGCGCATTGCTCAGAACGACTACAACAAATGTCTTTTTAAAATGGGTTGGACAGCTAATTCCTTCATGAAATCACTTGAAAAATCATCTCAAACATTACCGGTGACTTCGTCAACACCCTGCATGCCTTTTCAATTACTGTTATCCGCCAGTAGTTGCCCGGGGTGATTAAACACCGAGCTTCCTAATGGTCTGGGTTGTTAGAACATATCCGAAGTTAATCAGATTTTCTCCATCATCACACTGCCACCCTCGTCTAATAGTTTCTCTACGTGTGTCTAGAAATGTCAGCGGCTATGTGCGTTATTCTTTCCCGCCTACGAGAAGTTTTCATTACTTTCTTGGGATTCTCGAAGTGGTTTTATCAATTGAGGACACTTTGCGGAGTTGAATGAACCAATTGGAAATGTTCCTAACGTCGTTCGTCATTAATTAGCCAGCTCCTTTGGAGATTCACCAAGGAAAATCGAACTCCCCGAAGTTCCTTTTGGAGATTTC